TTTTTTCGAATGGATAACAAAAATATTACGACGCTGCGGAAGAAAGATGAAAGCCGTAAATCAAAAAGACGGCAAAACCAAGCGAATTATTTTGAGATCAGTCGAATTTCAACTGTGTTAATTAGTGGCCATTTAGTTCTTTTCTCAGCGGTTCTGTAGTAGCTGAATAAGATTCCAAAAAATATTTGAACGAAGCAAATAAACTAAATAAACAAAACGCCTGGAGGTCGCCGTAAATTAAATATGCAGAAATCCAGCGTGCAAATTACTGTTCACTTTTGAAACCTAAAATTCCCAAATACAGGGAACCAAATGAAATAAATGCCAAAGGAAGTTCAATAACAATAAATTTTCATTCAAGCTGAGGCAAAGAAACCTATTTCAAAGCAAAAAATTGCTCAAAATTTCGCAGACGTGCTTCGCTGCACGAACCACATGTTCAAATTATTCTTCACGTTAACGTGAAAGCTTGAGTTTTTGCTGACCGCTTTTGCAGTCATTTTAACGCCCGTGGCTTTCCTAATCGTTCCAAAAGTTGAATTGTACTTCGAAGTAATAATGTACATTACCATTCTTGTTTCTTAAGTCCGAAAAGCTGCTTTAAATCTGCGATCTTTTGTCAAAACTTACTTGAAAGCGCTCCGATCTTCATGTTTCTGCACCAGTTGTAGGAAGAAAAATGTCTTCCCCAGAAAGTTTTGAGGACTCTGTACTCCTTTATCCTCCATACTGAGGCCATCTAAACATTAATTTGTATTTTTCCTTTCTATTTTAAAGCCCAAATTAGCAATTTATCCATGTTAGGAATGAACACAAGACCTTGGAAGTTTTTAGATTTGGCCCACAACGTGCCATGATTACCTGCACTTTTCGAGCGCACAATTTTAAGAAGAAAACCCGTCTTTCTAGGCCCCTAAAGTCCTCTAAAAATATGCTCAGAAAGTCCATTCTGATTGGTTTATTTGTCCTCAAGAACAATAGAACAATAGTAGAACCAAAAATCTTCAGCAAGGGTAGGAAAGTCAATTGTCCCCACATGCTTTTTTTCAGGCGGTTACGGACGGCACAGGGAAATGGAGGAGTCTTTCGCAGGGGTGGTTATGAGCGGCACAGGCATCAATGGGTTAAAAAGTGCTGATTCAAAGTTACGTCCTTAGTCAGTGAACACCAAACCTGGAAATAACCTCAGTGACCAAGAAATGTGTCACAGTCACTGCAGATTGTTCAGGCATGGCAAGCACCTCCACCCATTTCGAGAAATAGTCCATAGCCACCAAAATGTGCTGATTTCCTTGTTCGGCTTCTGGTAGAGGTCCCAATACATCAATAGCAAACCTCTCAAGGGGTGTCTCCACATTGTAAACTTGTAGTGGGGCTTGAAATTTTTCTGCGGCTTTCTTCAACACAATAATTGCTTTCTGCTATTCTCAATGTTCTACTTAAGTATGCAATAACTTTTTAGTGCCATTTTGAACTTTTAAAAGGACAGCTCCAATTGTCACGCCACTTGTGTCTGTGTCCAGGATAAACATGTAATCAAGGGTTGGATATGTCTGGATTGAAATTGAGGTAAGATTCTCCTTTAAAGTGCAGAAAGCCTTATCACAGGCCTCCGTCCATAGGAATTTCTTTCAACTTTCAGTCAACTTGTGTAGTGGCTGAGCAATTCAGACATGTTCATAGATGAAACAGAGACAACAGGACATCAGGCCAAGGAAACTCCTAGCTTCTGCAACTGAGCATGGAACTGGCGAAGCACTGACAGCCTCTGTTTTACTCTGGTCAGTACGCACTCCATCTGCACTCACAATATGGCTCACGATATGGCTCACGACATGGCCCAGAAAAAGTAACCTTCCTCTGGAACATAACACATTTCTTTGGGCTGAGCATTAGGTAAGCAGATCTTAACTGTTCAAAAATGACTCATAGGCACCTCAAGACTTCTTCAAATGACTTAGCGTGCACAATGGCATCATCCAGGAAAATCAGCAGTACTTGCCAAGATAAGCCCACAAGTGTACCCTATCAATCTACCTCTTAAATAGTGCCAGAGCATTGCAAAGACCAAAGGGTTGAGCCAGTCGGTTCGTTCCTTAAATCTGTTAGCCTTTCGTCACTCCATTTCTTCACTGGTACTCAAAATTCTGCTGCCCAATTCCTGGAGAGTTGACATAAACGAAGCTGGTGATTCTTGACCGATGGAATAGCAACCATTTTCATTTCAAGTTGCTGAATTCTGCACAACATCCTGTTCCACATGGAATTCTCCACAATGATTTTCTTCTGCATCCAACTGAACTTCACAATAACTCTGATCAGCTGCTGCCATCCTGAAGGAGCTCAATGTTCAAAGAACGCTACTAAACTAAACTTTAATGGTCACCTGGACCACCCCAGCAACTAACGGTAACCACAACTAACTATGGCAACCAATAAACAAAGGGTCCTCATCGGGCCCATGAGGACTCTTGAGGCCGGCCAGAAGATCACGTGATCCATCCCGGTCTGAGGCCGATGCAGCAGCAGCTGCCCATGTATGCCATCTGAGCTTGTTCCTTTTCTTCTCCACAGTTCTTCTCCATGTCTCTCTCGGTCGACCTAGTCTCCTCTTCCCTTCAGGTGCCCACATCAATGCAGTCCTCAAGATGTTGTCAGGACTTTTCCTCAATACATACCCTAACCATTGCCATCTTGACTGACACCGGTGTACTCCCTGTGGCTTTGTACAGCTCTTTGTTGCTCAGATGGTTGGGCCAGAATCTCCTCAGCACTCTCCTCAGGCATGTGCCCTGAAACACATCCAGTTTGTTGACATCAGTTGCTATCACCCTCCACATTTCGGCTCCATACAACAGCACGGACAGGATGTTCAAGTTCAAGATGCGCAACTTCTTCTGGCTGAATCTGACTGACCTCCAGATGTTCTGAAGTCTGGCGAATGCCGTTCTTGCTAGTGCTTGTCGCCTCTTGATGTCTGCTTCTGTGCCGCCAAGTTTGTCAAGTACTGAACCTAGGTACACGAAGGATTCCACATCTTCCACCTCTTCTCCTTCTATCCTGATGTAGTCTGTACATCTGTGGTTCATCCTAAGCATCTTTGTTTTGCATGTGTTGATCTTAAGCCCAACAATGCCAGCAGTGGCTGCTAGCCTATCGGTCTTCTGCTGGAGATCAGCAAATCTGCTTGAGATTAGAGCAACACCATCAGCATAGTCCAGGTCTTCTGGGACTAATGTGAGTTTCCATCTCAAGCCACGTCTCTTATCATTTGTGTGCCTCATGACCCAGTCCATGATCAAGACAAAGATGAAGCCAGATAACACACACGCTTGCCGCTCACCACTCTTCACTTCGAACCAGCTAGAATACCTTCCACCTTCTGTGACGCAGCTTGAACTCTGATGATATAGCACTTTAAAAGTCCTGATAAAGACCTTAGGGATGCCATACTGCCCCATAATGTCCCAAAGTCTCTCTCTGATGATGCAGTCGAAAGCCTTCGAAAAGTCAGCAAAGTTAATGTACACTGGTGCTTGCCATTCCTGGCACTGCTCAAGGATGTTCTGAAGTGCAAAGATTTGCTCAGAAGTTCCCCTTCCAGATCGAAATCCTGCCTGCTCCTGCAAATCAACTTGTCCATGCCACTCTTCAATCTGTCAATGAGGACCCTGCATAAGATTTTGCTTGGTAGGAGAGTAGGGATATACCACGGTAGTTATCACTGAGTGATGTCATCCTTCTTTGGCACTTTCACTATAAGTGACTTCTTCCAGTCCTCTGGTACACATTGTTCTTTCCAGATAGTGTTAATAAGTGGAGTTGTTTCACAGCATCCTTCTCGGAGCACTTGAGCAACTATCACATAAAGTGCTTCATAGCAACCAGCATGCCACTACAGGTCAAAATGTCTTGTCGTGCAGCTTTACTACATCAACAAACAACAGCCGTTCACAGGACAAGTATCTACACCACAAAAAACGATCTCACCTAAACTTCAGCTGACTTTGGTCATGATTCATCCCACTTTTGACACCAAAAGTAATGCACATGCATGACAACAACTTCCACTCCAATAGTCCAATGGCCAACGGTTTAATGAATCGACTCCTAACATACAGCTTACTCGTACATGGCAAGTCTACTCTCACAAACAAAGCAACTACACAATGTGAGTCTCCTATATACCCCACATTACGAGTCCATTACGCATTCAGTACTCGCCATATAACCGTCTCTTCATCTTAGAACTTGCGCTGGCATTACATTTAAATATAACGGTTCTAAATCTTAGCACACTCACCTTAGCTCGTGCAAACACTACATCAATTTCGTTACAATTGTGAAGCAAACATCTCTCATCTGTCAGTATTTAATAAAGATCCAGAATTTCCATATGAAGAAATTACGTGCACAGTCTTATTGACCTGGTTCAGATGGCTTTTTGCCAGCAGAGTGTTTTAGAATCATACCGAGGAGCCCTAACTTAAGGTGAATATTTCAATTTCCCTCTGTAATTGAAACAAGTATTTATAAAGTATTTATGAACATTTCATCAAGTTCTGGGTAGTATAAGAAAATGAAATAAACATCCATTTGAGGATGTGCATTCATTTGCTCAATGGATGCTTTCAAGGCCCATAACAATAATGTATTTCCAATCAAAACCTTTCAGAAACCCGCTCAAAATCCTACAAGATTCTTTGAGAACAATACTTTGGCAACATTCAGTGAAAGCTGCACCTAGTTATATAAGAAAGAAAGATAGAAAACTGGGAAAACACTGCGGCTACTCACCAACATATCTACATCAACATATCATGTTGAAGTGCGTGGGAAAACCAGACTATCTTACTTACTTACTTACCTAATTACTTCTTTACTTACTTAACTACTCACTAAAATCTATGCAAATTTACCACATTCTTTAACTCATCAGCCCTGCAAGCAACTTGGTTTCATACAGTATGACTCATTGGCAATTATAACTAGTTACACACCTTCACTTTAGACTCCATGCCTCCACGACCAACGCGGGACTTCTCTCCAAATTCAATATTGCTAACATCAGTTGGTCTGAATGTGTCTAGAAGACGAGACTCTGGGAGGTCTGGAGGGCCACTGTAAATACCTTGCACATCTGATAACATCAAGAGTAAGTCTGCTTTCAACTCCACTGACAACAAGGAAGATAAGCTGTCATTGTCCTTAACACTGATCACCTAAAGAAAAGCCACAGTTAATCTCCTTCATTGGCATAATAAATCCAAGGTTAAGGGACTATTTGAGGGAAAGAATCAAACAGAACAGGACAGCACTCTGAGATGTAATGGTGATTTTAAAATCAAATGTACGCTGCAGGGAGAGAAACACACCATTTAGATAACTCTAATGGAAGGAGAAGTTCCAGGAGTAATTCTCCCTTGATACTGTACATAGAAAAAGCAATAAAAATACTTATAATTCTATCTATACCAAAATTTTTGAGCACAATTGGTTCCCTGTGCCTATTTGTAACACAATCACTCCACAATCACGTGGGTGTCAAATCGCAACTTTTTGTAATCGAATACCTACTATTGAAAAACTACAGCATTCACCTGTAAATTAAGTCTGCTTTAATGGCTTCCCTCGTATTGCTTCTCCAGTGTTTGAAAAACTTATAGAAAATACTACTGACTTTTTTGCTCAAACGTTCTTAACATCTTTTAATCTTGAAATTTGTTATTGGTACAGTTAGTTAATAATTGGCCATTATGTCATACCATTCAGCAACTAATCACACTTTTAATTTCAAATCAGCCCTGTTCTGCATGCTCATCCAATTATGAAATTACTTGCACAATTACTCCCTGAATTGCACTCCACTCGGAACAAATACTATTAATAATAACAACAACAAAAACAACAAATATTAGTTATTGCCAAGCTTGTTTGGTCAAGATGGCTGGATGTTGGCCAAGTTCATTTTTTACATGTTTATGGACAGAGATGGAGTCACGGTCCATAAACTCGCAAAAAAGGTTGAGCCCAATATCTAGCCATCTTGACCAACCAAGCTTGGTCAATAACGGATTTATTTTAAGGCTTTTGGGAAAATTGTTCTTGTGGGACACAGTTGGTAGCCTGAGCAGGTAAGATAGCCCACCTTGCCCACTTGGGTAGTGAATCAAAGCACAGGGTTGATTCATCTTGCCCACTCACAGAGCTAACCATATAAAAATAACATTTATCAAGCACCTGAGGCCTAAAGACTGCACTGCAAGACAGCTGCAAAGATTGGTTTCTTGTCTGCTATTTTCTCTTGACTTATAATTGTTAAATCAAACCAAGTTGTTCTTTCCTGTATCACTTAGCAATGTTGTGGTATGTGTCAATATTGCTTACTAATAAATCGTTTGCTTGAGTAACTTACAAACTCAATTTAAATTTACTTAAGCAATCCATCATGCTCAGATTCAATACAGTTTTAAGTTGCTGTTTTAATTTTTCATGTGAAAAAATTAACAAAATCAGCTACCTCCTTGAGCAAGCTGTCAATGAGGTCACCACAGCCCGAGGCTCTGACTTGCACACAAAAATTAAATACGCCTGCAATTAGCATAGTTGACATACCATGATGTTGACTGAAAATGCATTATTTTCAACCTTGCATGGTCATAACTTACAAATAACTTTGTAATGAAAAACTGTTGCAGTCAGAAATACTTAATACAAACATGAACCAAATACTGTAGTATACCATTAAGAAGGTAAAAACCTCCAAAACTGAAAGAGTTGACTCCTCCAATGCTGTTTACACTTACGAGTGACTGCCTATAAAAATTGACCAAAACTGCCTATCAATGGAAGAAGCTGAAAAATTGATTTCGTTTGTATTTTGCCCATAGACAGGTCCTAGTAAAAACAGTAATGAAACATAGTTAGTTTTGGCTAATAGAGCTTTCTTTGGTAGAAATATGCGGAAAACAATTTCGCCCAGTTTGGGCTCAAAATCTACTTCCGGGTTTGGGGAATTTTCTCAATATTTGATTGCTTCATGCTCTGCACAACAGCTGCTTGAGAATCTTTCAATGGATTTTATATTCAGCTCAGGTCTTCATGGTATGACTGAGTGAAAAATAAAACAAATTGAAGTTAGTTTTGAGCTTCAAATGAGATCAAACAGACACGCAAAATTTTACGATGTGCTGAAGGCGAATTATTGCATTAAAACATCACCACATTTTTCTATGGACTATAACTAAAATACCGTAAAAACACTTTCCCCGGGTGACTATACATCCACCTGTTTGAAAATAAAAAAGTAACTCTGTGTGACGCAGGTATAGTCACTCTCAAATAAATATTCGTTTCCGACAACCTGCTCAAAGGAATCTTTAGAACTGTCGTATGTAGAAAAAATAATGAAAAATAATGACTTTTCCTTTGGGGATATCTGGATCACTCAGATCAAGGTACATCAAAGAAACCATTGAATCCACTCTTGTCCTTGATGCACCCTGATCCGAGTGATTTGGATCACTGGTCGTGATCAATATGACCCCAAAGGAACATATCCTTAAATGAACAGCAAACATCCGTCTTGTTTTCTTCTCCTCAATTGGTCACAGAAGATCGACTGTTTCCATGAAAAATTACTGCTTTTAAAATATATTATTTAATTAATCAATCAGCTAAAACTAACTGGTCACCAAAAAAGGTGGATTTAAGACTTACAAAAATATACCTGTTAATGTCTTGGTTTAAACATAATATTACAGAGCATTTCAGCTATTAAAAACCAAATATTCGTGGACACGTATCAAACTTATGTACATAACTTGGAAAAGCAAACCATCCAACACTGTATTTGTTCAATTTAAATTGAATACTTGCCATGATACTTACACCCTGGATGTCTTAATAATCTTTAATTTAAACTCAAGGTTTATTTAGTGCTTTTATAGCATTTAAGGTCAAAGCCCATAGAAAAATATGGCAATATTTTAGTGCTATAAATTTGTTTGCCACAAATTGTAAAATTTTGCGTGTCTGTTTGAGCTTGTTTCGGGCTCAAAACTAACTTTGATTTATTTTACTTTTCATTCAGTCGTACTATGAAGACCTCAGCTGAATATAGAAATCAATGACAGATTTTCAAGTAGTTGTTGTGTGGTGTGGGATGCAATCAAATATTCAGAAAATTCAGCAAAACCAGAAGTAGATTTTGAGCCCAATCAGGACAAAACCATATCATTTTTCCCAAATTTCTTCCAGAAAAACCTGTATTGGCAGAAACTAACTATGGTCCGTTTTTTTCCCCTAGCTTGGGCCAATCTATGGGCAAAAAATGTGCGAAATCGATTTTTCAACTTGTGGTGATGTTTGGTCTATATTTATAGGTAGCTGCTCTTAACATTTATTTGAAACATTACCTTTTAAAGAAATTCACCAATAAGCATTTCACCAAACCAAATGAATTGAAAAAACATACCAAGGAAATCTCCATAAACATAATAATGCAAATCAAACTGTGCAGGTGTCAAATAGAAAATTCTAAACAAAAGGTCACAGAATAATGTTAAAGATGATTTCCAGTCCATACTGCGCACTCACAAGTTTGTTTTTGATTATTGTTTTGTTTCACGTAAGACACAAAATAAAACATTTTGTAACTACTTACATGAAGTAAATTCAGTTTCAGGTTAACCACAATTATGGAGGCAAAGCTTTATGTTTATTTCTGTTTCCCTCTTTTTGATATGGTCACCTGTTGAAACCATTTCATAGCTGTAAAAATCAAAGAAACTGTTGGGAAAAGAATTTAAAATGCCTCCAAGATACATGTAAGGTAGGTGGTTTGTAATTAATAACACAGGAGTGTTGAGACTTAACAGTATGGACTAGAAGTCATCTTTAACAAAACTTTGTTTAAGATTGACTATCATTTAACATAAAGCCAAGAGAAATGCAAGAGGCAGACAAACATCATAGTCAAATTGCTATTGATAGGTAACTTGTGACCCATGGTGCTACGCTGGCCCGGCTTCTCTGCATTGTTACTAATACTACAGTATAAAATTATGAAAAACACAACAAAGTTAATGTTGTGACAGTCACAAAGTTAGACAGTCACAAAGTTGATCTGATAATTTTTCCAGTTCGTAAATCAAGCACAAACTGGCCACGGAAGCAGGATAAAGATCAATCAGGCAGGTGTTAGCGTTCATGCGGATGAGTGAGTGGAAAGGAAAAACGTACGCCATGGAATCGTTGGCAGTGTTCAAATAAAAACAAAGGGAAGCCACCTACTGAAAAGACTGTTGAAATGAAGGATGTCAAATCGAAGCACAAGACACCAATAAACAAATGCAGATGGTGTGGTTATGATAAAACACACAAGAAATGCCCAGCAATCGGGCAGCAGTGCAGATACTGCAAAAAGATGAATTATTTCTCAAAATTCTGTTTGTCAAAGGATGTCCATCAGTTACAAGAAGTGGCCAACTCCAACAAGGAAACAGAAGGGGACTGTGACCATGAAGAAAGCAAAGATGACTCGTTGTTTGTTTACTCAGTTAAGTCAAACTGTATTGCAGAAGACAAGCAGTTTTATGAAGTTTTGAGCTGGAAGATACTGAAGTTCACTTCCAGCTGGATAGTGGTGCAAAAGCTAATGTTATGTCACTGAGCACTTACAATAATCTCAAGCAAAGACCACAAGCTCTGCTGAAAACAACAAATACTGTGTTGATTTCCTTCTCCAAGCACAGATTGAAACCTTGTGGAGAAGTGGTGCCGAGTGCGAAATACAAAGATAATGCCGAAGATGTCAAGGTTCTTTGTTGTAGAACCCGAAGTAGAATCAGTGCTTCATGGAAACATGTGTCAAACTTGGCCTACTAAAGAGAGTTCACCAGCTGACCAGCAACAAACCACCTGCAAAAACAGTGGAGTTAGATGACCATCCAGAGTTGTTCAAAGGATTAGGATGCTTGCCTGGGACGTATCATATTGAACTGGTTGATGGTGCTACCCCTGTTATACATTCCCCAAGGACGATACCAGTACCTCAGAGAGAGAAAGTTGTTGAAGAACTGAAAAGGGTGGAAAAGCTTGGAGTTATTGTGTGGCAATAGGAACCGACAGAGTGGGTGAACACACTAGAAATAGTTCAGAAGCCCAGCAGTTCAGTGAGATTGTGCATTGATCCGCAAGATTTAAATGCTGCCATAAAGAG